CCTGTTTTAATGCCCTAATAGTACATACAGAAGTTGATTCTTCTTCCTGCTTCTCTTTCCTTGAAAGATATCGAGTTTAAAAGAAAATAACATAATTTTCTAGCTGAAGCAATAGACAAATAATACTATTTATCATTTGAAGTCCATGCCTTTGGAAGCTAAGCCAAAAATTAATCACTTTCTAATGGAAAAATTAATGAATCATTTTCGTATGTTTTAATCTAGATAAACAACTTTTCTTGGAAACAGGTTTCTCTCCGAAAAAAATTCGATTAACAGCATCATTAACATTATTAGTATGTTAACACTCTTCACAAAACTTATAAATGTTTTGCAAACATTTTAGGAGCCAAAATGTTTAAATAAAACTCGCTTTTTCTACAATGTTTATTTAATTTTTAATAAAAATATGCGTTTCACTACAAAACAAATCAATCCGATTAGTTTTAATCTAATAACAACTAAAACTAGTATCCTCTAGTATCACTTACCTTACAACTAAGCTGTTTAGATTTTAAATTAATTCGTCAAAATGTATGTAAACAATTATGTATAAAAAGTGCAATAACAATGCCCTTGTTGCTCAAGTTTAGTAAGTTAGTAATCGAAACTAACATGTATATAATTAGGAAAAAAATGGCCCGTCCAGGATCCTTGTAAATAATGTATACATATTATATGTACATTTAGATTTACAAATGTAACAGTGTTAATTGAGATTCGTTCAAGTGGTTAAGATTTAGTTTGCATGAAATTACTTGAAAACTGGATAAACACCGATAAATGTAGATTACAAATATTTTCGAAGCAACTTTATCTCCATCAAACATGAAAAACATTTGTTTAATTGAGACGTATTTAGCGCAACGTCCTCACAACTTCATTGAAAAAAATCAAACGATAGATGAGACTAAGTTCATCCAGTCACATTTGTTATCAACCATGAAAGAAGCCTACATCGAATCTTACCTAATATTTATGCATATATCATATGTGAATAAAACAACAAAAGTCAACTTTAGCCATTTGAATGTGTGTTTGTTTTTCTAGTCACCTTTTATTGTGGACTATAAAACGAAGGTCTTCAAAAGTTGTTAAACCCAGTTTGACAAAACTGTATCAAACTTGTCCAATTCAAATCGTACCTATCATGATGTGTACATAATAATATGCGAACATAACTTAATAATTCAACTTTAACGATATCAATTTGCACTTGTTTTTGAGACGATCGCAAACTCAGTTTCTCCCAATTCGCCACTTTGTCGACAAACGCCGTTGAAATATTCAGTTCCAATTCTATGTGAAACAATTACTGTTCAAGCATAGGCACTCCCCTAAGCAATAATTACCCTGTGTTTGCAAGCGGTTAATTTACTAATTTTTTTTAATTATCATAATTAATTATCAAAGCTTACTGCAATCTGAAACCTGTTTGCCAGTAGTTCTTTAACTTACAGTAAATACTCTTCGAAAAAAAAACAGGAAAAAACTATGTCGATTGATCTAACAGTAAAAAATGACTAAGCATAATTTATTATGTCTTTTTCAAAATAAAATATCAATATTCAGTCGAAATTATTACTAAAAATAGCTCAATATTAATCTGCTGAGTATAATATGAAGTCGGTAATATTAACCATTTATTTTTATCAAGAGGTAGTGTTTCTAGCACTACTTTACTTGACTTAAATACCAAACTTTATTAAGGAAATTTATCAAAATTGCAGAAGGAAATATTCTTTTCATACCTTTAGTCCCTAACCCAAAGCAAAACCCTGTTTTCTTAAATCCGTTATTATGTTCGGTTCAAGCATGTACACTTTCAAGTTTTTAACTTCTCTCAGTCGCTTAATCCACAGTAACTAATAAATTAGACGAAATTAATAAACAAATTCAAACACTTCCACCATTTTTAGCTAAATCCTTCGGAAAAATCCGTCGATGTTTGATCGGGTGTATCAAATTTGGCCATAACAAACAAGCTGGGCACCTGCCACAACTGAAACACAATCGATTCAAGCTCCTTTTCCTTATCGCGTTTTTGGGCCAACTCTTTTTGCAAAACCGATTCTCGTTCGTTCAATTGATTGAACTGCCGATACAGTGCGGTTTGCTCTTGTATCGCCTCCTGCTGTTGAAGTGTCAATGCACGTATCTCTGTTTCCCTTTCTGGATACAAACAAGATCAATATTGATTACACAAGAATACATTTTTTTAAATATAGATTCTTACTAATAAAAGAAAATATTATTTTATGACTTTGAGAAATATGTTTCTAGAACCGTTGCCTAGTGGAACTTTTTTTGGAATCGTTAAAATCATTAGGTGACCCGCGTTTTCCTTTACGAGAGCCGTCCGATAAGTAATTAGCCTCGCCGTCCAATGGCTCCGCCGAAAGCCACGGAAGCCTACTTTGCAAACTTCGAGAAAGCGTATTTTCCAGACGGGTTAAAGAAGTGGGCGCATCGCTCGGTCAAGTGTATCGAAGTAACAGGAGACTATGTTGAGAAATAAATCGCCACTTTATCAAAAACTTATCGGACCGCCCTCGTATATCGCAAAGTTGCAAACAAATTTTTATAATAAATAAAGAGCCTTAGTCCCTCCACGTACAAAAGCAGGGACATTTCGAGCAAACTGAATTATATTAATGTACAAGTGTATAAACCGGATTGATTAGATTTTAATATTAAATTTAATTGGTAGTGCATCTCTTCGTAGGTAAGTATAATTGTTAAGTTTTTGGCCATTTAGCGGGTGCATCCATCAGACATTTTGCGGATATTGGACACAGTTTGGGGACATTTGAAATTTCCTATGAAATTAGTAGAAGGCGTAAAAAACTTTCCATATAATGTTATTAGAAGGAGGATTAATGAAGTTCTGTTTATAAATGTAAATAAATTTTACTTAATATCGAATATTGTAACCGCATTTTTATTCAGAATGTGCGATGATAGAGGCACATTAAAATATGAAAATTACGGACAAAACATGTACAACATTCAATTGAAACTATAAAATAAGTGAAAGCGACCGGTTCCAATTGTTCATATTTGCCTATGAAAACAAGCTGTTGACATCAAATGCAAATATCCAAACGAAATGTATAACGTTATTACAACAATGAAGCAGTTGTTATTTATAAAACAAGGTTTTTGTAAATATTATAATATAAAGCAAAAATTAAATAGATCAGTCCCGTTTAAATTTGATAATTCTCGTTTAAATTGTATAGTGTAGAGATCTGCTTCTATAGAACTTTTTTTATTGCATTCAACTATGAAAAGCCAAAGATTTCTTAAAAAACAAAAACCCTGTCGTTAACTTAACTTAAATTACCATCTACTCCGACAATAAAAACGAAAGTAATAAAAGACTTACTTTGTACTAAAGACGTCACTTTGCTCATCGCTTCATATATTGAAACATTGGTTGAATTGGAACAGTCTGATTCAATATTAGCTGTATTTGCAGTAAAACTCAATCCTTCAAGGCTCGATTCATCCATACTCACCTACAAAAGTCAATTCTGGTTAGTAATAAGCCACTATCTAAGTTTTTCATCCTTCACTAACCGTGCTAGTCTCAGCTTGGCCAGTTGAAGACTCTATATCTGACAATTCGCGATATATATCCCCAGCTAACGACGTTAAATGCTTCTTAGCTTGTAGATGTTCTCTTTTATTGTGCAAGCTGTGAAACCATTGGTCGCAGGTGCGGCAGTACAGTTCCTCATTATCTTCTTCCTGTTTTGGGAAAAATTATTAAACAAACGCCTAAATTCGAAGTGAATATTTCTTACATCGAAATCATCGGTTGCATCCATATCGCTCTCTGAGAGAACATTGTTTTGCAACCGCTTTCTTCTCTTCTTGTTCAGGTATGCTCGGTATGCTTCCGACTGCCTATATTGCTTCACTGCTTCTTTGTACCTACAACAAACAACCCACATACTTATGGAACAAATTCCCATATTTCCAGTAAGTCATACTGTCTCTTTTCCTCCTCCGCTCTATCTAAATAGGGTTTCTTTTCTTCCAGCGTTAAACTCGACCATCTGTTCCCTACAATTTTCGTTATTTCGTAGAACTTTAAAGAGCTGTCCTTAAAAAAACTTCTTTGCTCATTTGTGTACAGGTTGTATCCAGTTAAGGGAGCCTTTGGAGGTAGATTTAACAATTCCGGCTTGCGCTTTCGCCCCTTTGGCCAACCACCTCTTCCTTTCTTCTTAATCACTACTTGCTGGGGCGAGGGGCAACCATCACTATTTAAGATGTGTAGACTTCCCCTCGTTGAGTCTGATTCTTCACTAGATTTGTCTCTATCTAGAGAGATATTTTAAGTTATTTTAAATTACAGTACTTGTAGCATCATGATTAGTATTTTAAGATTTTACGATTTCCGAGATTTATGATTTTTTTTTTATTTTCATACAATTACTATCCACTGCTAGGAGTTCGATGTTTCTTACTTGGCAGCCAAGCAACCTTACAACCTCACGATGAAGGTAGTAAAAACTGTCTTATTGCGATTTTACTCACAGACCTCTAAGTTTCATCGCGCTCACCATGAAAGAGTTACTGCATATATTGTTTCCACCAGTTTCCTTTTCCCATGCTGTTTCAGCATCTCTATCTTCATGCTCTAAGACTGACACTATTTGCAGCACAGTCCCGATTTTTTTTGTGCAAATTAAACGATTACTTGCGCTCTTGCAAAATGTCCATTTTAGCTTCACTCACTTTCATTCTTTAGTTTACGTATTGTCGTATCGGTAAAGGCCCGATTACTGGAAAACAATTCGGCTGATAAATATATGCGTGCAAAGCAGGAGCGCACGTGTTTTGCAGGGGAAT